GGGGAGGGTTATGGATTGACTTTTTTGGAGGAGAGTTAGGTCAGTATCACATGCAAATACAGAGAAAAGCTTTTTGGGCCATAAATGAAAGATATGTGGGCCCAATGCTACACGAGCCCTGTCTACACAAGGCCATTCATTTCATTTTCAATGCTAACTTTTCGGGTGAAATTAAAAAATAGTCAAATTTATAAGTGTTAATTAAAAAATAGCAATAATTTTAAAAGTAATCGAAATTTAATTACCTTTTCATGTAAAGATAAATTTGAACGAAAACACTGTTCAAAATCCGAAAAATATTCCAGCATAATATACTAGAGTTCGAATTTTTTTAAATGTGAACTTCTAGCATAATATACTGGAGTTCCACCATAATATATTGGTCCAGCATAATATGCCGGAAGTTCATACATAGGTGCTCCAATCTCCAGTATATTATGCTGGAACTTTCCGTGTGCTGGAGTTCCAGCATAATATGCTGGAAGTTCATACACAAGTGCACCAATCTCCAGTATATTATACTGGAACTTTTCGTGTTGTAGCAAAATAATGACTATTTTTCAATGACTTTGCAAACGCTGACTATTTTTCAATTATCAATTCGTGGCTAGCCCGTGCTATTTTACTAACTTTTCGTATTTAATGAAATTAGGCACCCAATTTGATAGCAGCTTATTTTGTGTTTTAACACCACTCAACTCATTTACGTCTTCTTTTCGCTACTCCATCCATCTGTCGACAATCCATTCTATAGAAGAATGGATAAAATATAAAATAGGCCGGTCGAAATTAATTAATTAATTAATTATATATATATATATATATTAATTATATAATATATATTTTATCAACTATTATTTTTGAAAGATGATAAAAATATAGGCAACTTAAATTTCACGATATATTGGAATAAGTGGTTGATTGATGGGTATTTGGAACTTGAGGCTCTTTGAAAAGAGAAACAGAGGATCTGATAGTATTGCACGAGAGATAGCCTACATATGCAATTTACGAGCTACCACTGGGATTAGTAGTATGGTGCAGAATTTTATGTTTTGATATAGATAATTTAGAGTAGGCTTTGTTATTGTTTTATATAGCAGCTGAGTTTATAAGCAGGTTAGCTATGGTTATGTACGGTTACTGGTGATTAATACAAAAAATGGTTAGTTACCCAAAAAAGAAAAAGAAGAAGAAGCAGTGGTAGTATCCACAATTTTTGCAATATTCAAATATACTTATTTTTAATTTTTTAATTCACCTCTATTTATGTACTAACTAATTATATATGTAAGGTGAAACTATGGCTCGAGAACCTTTTTTTGGACTAATTGGATTGGCTTGTCTTTAGAAATCTACTCAATCTTTAGAGGAGAAAAGGCACATTAGATTACCAATACATATATCAGGAAAAAAAGATTGCTATTATCATAATTTATAAGTTGCATTTGACAAGTTAACAATCAACTATAAATCCTTTTCTAAATATTATATAAGTACGGGAATAATAATTACACATATGTTGCACTCGAATTTCAAATGAAACTTATTACCTATAAAAATTATTCTCTCCCATTAGAAAATATTGAAAAGATTTTTGGTGTAATGTTTTCTTAGATATTTGTTTGGCTAATTTCGTGCAAAAGAGAATGTATGGGTTCAAATTTCCAATGAATGATATGTCATTTTGAAGAAGGCCTAGTTTAACTATGACTTTAAGTTATATACACAATGTGTGTATTTGTTTTTTTTAAATATTATCTAGTCATTCAAATGATATCTGCAACTAAATTTCCTTATTTTCAATTGAAAATAAGATAAGTTACCTACTATAATAAGTAAAAGTGATAAGATAATATTTTTTTTTTATACTGACTTGTATTAGGTTAGGCTATTTACATCACACGGGGGTGCGGCCCTTTCCCGAACCCTACATGAATACGGAATACCTTGTGCAACAAGCTGTCCGTTTTAAATGTGTATAATATAAACTCTTTAGCAATTATTATTATTCATGAAAATGGATGCTGCTATTTTTGACTTTTTTTCATAATACAGTAATATGCAGGTTAACTTGTTGGATATGTGCACTGAAACAATATCCAAGTTTGGTGGAATTTTGAAATATTGGGTGTTTAGCATATGGCTTGTCGCTTTTACTTAATTTAGCTTATTACCATCGTGCTCGTTTTTCACACTTTCCTTATTACCATGCAATTTTGAAAACTTTTTTTTTAAATTCTGTCAAAGGCACAACTTGGATTTAAAGCTTATAAGTTCAAGATTTTACTCCGTTTAAGTTACTGGTTCAAAGTTAATAATTTATAGATATTCAACGAATACAGAGGGTTTAGACCAAAGCTACTAAGTTCGACCAAACTCGTATTTCGCATTCTAGCTCCGCCTCCGAATCCTCCCCCACCATAAAAAGGAAAAATGCAAAGAGAACGTTTTTTCACATAGTTCCTAGGTTAAATAATTCAAATTATATGTGTATATTTCAAAATAGAACACATAGTGATTATTTTTTACCGCCAGGGTATAATGTGACAAATACGATCCCTCCACTCTTAATAAGAAATTTTAAGTCATTCATCCTTAGTTAAAGGTCTCAAATTTAAACCTTGAGAATTTTAAAAGAAGCGTTTTCCCTTAAATAGATCTTGCATAAACGTCGGTTAATTAAGCGAGTTTCAAATATAAAATGATTATTTAAAAAAAAATGAAAGCAGATTTCTCCTGCCACAAAGCAGGAGATGTAAAGAAGAAATAAGCTCAACCGTGCAAAAGTCCTCTTATGAGTCATTACTCATTACTGTCAATTTAGCTGACACATTTTTTTTATTAGTCTGTTTAAAAAGAATGACATATTTTTATATTTAAAAATAATTTAACATTGAACTTTTTATTTTATCCATTTTATTCACATATTTTAAAAGTCTTCTTTTATTTCTTAAACTTTGTGTCGAGTCAAATTAGATCATTTAAATAGAAACAACAGAGTAAATACATAAAGTAGCTTTTTGTATCTCATCAATAAATTGGGGTCCACTCTATTTTGGGTCCACACGGAGAATACTAACCATTTGGCAGAGTCAAATAGTCAAACCACCAGTTGTGATTTGTGAATTATGAATGTGATTTCTTCTAACTTCTAAAGTTTCTTTTCAAACTCTGCATTCATTTCTTCTAATTTACAGCCTGTTTATGAGGGATTGTACAAACTTTTCATTCAGATATTTTTCTTTCTTGTTCAATAGAAGCAGTCATTAATGTATCCCGTAGATGCGAGATATAGAAATAATTCCATTTTTTCAAAAGAAGAAGTTAATGGTCGAGTAACAAATAAGAATAGTAGATCATATTCGATGAAAGCAAAAACAAATAAAAAAAAATAGAAATCCATAGTTGTGGATCTCGATCCAAAGGTTTTTTCTTGACCTAGCTACAAGGATGAGGCAGTATAGAAAGAAAAAATATGGAACCTAATAGAAATTACTACTAGTTGGACCAAAGCATTAGGGTTAGCTGTCCACATTACATTCCTTGGGGTGCGACTCTTTCCCTGACCATGCCTGAACGCGGGATGTTTGTACACCGGATTGCCTTTTATTCCGATATTATTTCATTGTTATCTTATGTTGTTCGAGAAAAGATATTTTGGTTCCCATCAGATGTTCGATATCTGTATTTGTGTTGTGATCCAGATTCGCGCTATATGAAAATAATCGTGAAAAATTTAATTTCCTTTTGAGCCATCAAAATAAGAAAAAATCTAGTAGGAAGCGCTTTTATCATTAGTGAGTCTTACGAGACATGAATCTAAATTAGTCGGGCACAATGCGAGTATAAGATCAGTTGGGACAATAAAAAAGTAATTTTGACCCATTCTTTGGTTAAAACATGGATCGTTAAAAAAGATAAAAGTGAAAAGGTAAATCATAAATGTGACTTTTTGAATATAAAAAGTTATGAGCCTTTAAGAAAAAGATCCTTTACTCTGCAGCTATAAATACACCAAAGAAGAGACCAAACTTGGCCACAACACCACAAATATCAAACTCTAAATCTTCATTCTCAAGCCCCAACTTTTAACAAATCCTCATATTTTCTCTAGATCAGTTTACTTCTCTCTTTTAGTTTCTTCAACCTTATTTTTGTTAATTCTCAAGAAAAGGGGCAAATTTTAAGTACCCCTTCCCCCTTTTTCCTTTCTATTTTCTACTACATCACTTGTCTATCTTAGGAACTTAATTTCTTTAAGAGATTTTATAGAGTTCAAGAAACCATGAGCAAAATTCAAGAAAGCATGAGCAAAATTCAAGAAAACATGTCTTACACATATGATGAGGCTGCTCAAATTAGATCTTCCTTATCTCAAATCCTATTAACAAGTAGTACCAACGCTTTAGACTCAATCTTTTCTCATTGCCAAGAATCAAATAATCAAATGCCTACTACTAATCCTATTTTTGAGCCTCTAGGTTCGTCCGTCGGCAACAATAACAACTACGTCCCACTCCCGGACAATTTTGGTTCTTCAGTCTACCTTAGACAAAAAGATTTGTTACAAAAATTTTGGGAAGAAAATAGAACAAATGTTACAATTCCAACAACTTCAACACAAACCCCACATCAAAACAATTCTTTATATTCACAAAATAATATTTGTCCAAGTAAAAAAAAGTTATATAGAGGAGTGAGACAGAGGCACTGGGGAAAATGGGTGGCTGAAATAAGACTACCTCAGAATAGAATGAGAGTTTGGCTTGGAACTTATGAAACTGCTGAGGCTGCAGCTTATGCTTATGATAGAGCTGCATATAAACTTCGAGGCGAATATCCACGATTGAATTTTCCAAATATTCGCGATGATTTGAGTAAGTTAGGATTTGGAGATAGTACAAAGATGAATGCTTTGAAAAATTCAGTGGATGCTAAGATTCAAGCTATGTGCCAGAAGGTTAAAAGGGAGAGAGCTAAAAAGGGTGCCAAGAAAATTGTTGAAAGTGATAAAAAAGTTGCAAAAAGTTTGGATTTGGAGTCATCATCTTGTTCTTCTTCAATTGTTTGTAATGAGAGTTGGAGTAATAGTGATGTGATTTCACAAAGTACTTCTGAAGATAGATTGTGGAAGAGTGAGAATTCGCCTTGTTCTCTTCTTGATGACTGCCATGTGGGGCCCAAGAACGACGATTCCAACTGTCATATCACTGGCATCACACATCAGTTCGAAAGACCAATGGAATTGGAGTTTGAAGATTGTTCTCTTGGGAGAATGCCTTCTTTTGATCCTGAGTTGATATGGTCGATTTTGGCTAATTAGAAGTTATATCGACTTACTCTTCACGTGATTTGAATCTTCGACTTATTCAGAATCTTATCTCGAGATCTATAGAGACTATTTTATGTTGTTGACAATGTAAATGGTTAATTTTGAAGAATGTGTAGTTATTTAGTTATGATTTCTTTTGTCAAGTTGAGCACTATTAGTCTCTCTTGGTCTGACTTTTGTTTCTCTATAGGATGAACAAAGAATATTATTAGTTGTTCATTATCAGTTTTAATGCATCAAATTGTTTGGGAATTTGCTTATTCTAATAAAGTTTGAATCTTTTAAACCCTAGTGTATATTACCCTACTTCTTAGCTTGGAAAGGAATGATCTTTCATAAAGAGATAGTTCGCATTCCTTGTTTATCATCAATCAATCAATAATGCTTTAGTCTCAAATTAGTTAAGATCGGTTATACACATTATTTGTGTCTTCTGTCCGCCTCACATGTCTCTTAACAAATCCAATATGGATTTAACTTATAAAAGAATATTTGTCAAAACTAGTACTAATGGAGATATTGAGAAGTTTGGAGATTGCCTATTGATGGGTTTGAGGACAATATAGAATCTTGGACTTTAGGGAGTTGATTTTTTGACCCGATAGGTTACAGAAAATAGAAAGAATGTTAGAGATAGTGGTGCATGTTTTATCATTAACCTTAGCCATCAAGGCTAGGTCATCGGCAAAGAAAATGTGAGATATAGCAGGACCTATGGAATTAATTTTTATGGGATCCCAGTTGGCACAGTTGATAAACGGCCAAAAATACATATTTTTCGGTGTACTTTCATCTCATAACTTGTATGGTAACGGTAGGTTACATGACATTTTGTAGTGAATTATACTCATTACGTGCATTCTTATGTGTAGGAGCAAGTTGGACGAAAAGTGAGCAAAAGAAGTTGATTCGGCATCAAAGGACAAAAGAAGAATTTTGCTCGTTCACTCTCGCGAGCACACGAGAGAGTGAACGAGCTAGCTGAGGAAAAGCTTGAGAAATACAACGGGTTATGGAAAAAAGGCATGGAAGTGCACGAGAAACCTAGAAGGAAAAGAAAAAGAGAAGCACTTCTCTCGTTCACTCTCGAAGAGAAGCACTTCTCTCGTTCATTCTCGCGTGCGCACCAGAGAGTGAACGAGCTAACCTAAAAAGGTTGTTCTGAAGCGGGCTTGTATTATTTCGCCCCATGCAAACCCTATCACATATAAATAGTCCTTAAACTCATTTATGAAGGGGATGTGACGTTTTTAAGGAGTGAATTTCGACCTTAGGAGAGAGAAATCGACCGAAGGAGGCAAGAACACACTAGGAGCAAGGCGGAGAATTCTTCTACGAGTTTTTCACTTCCTTCTTCCTATTTTCATTATTGGTTATCAATTCTAGTATTGTAGTTTTGCATACTATTATGAATAACTAATTTGTTATCTAGGGTTTTGATGGAACCTTTTATAGGATGAATTCTTATTACGTGTTTATATAATTGAGCCGTTGGATTTCTCTACTTGTTCAACTACGTGTTTATTGTTGTTGATTGAATGAGCATCAATTGACTGTGCCTATTTAGTGTGTATTGCTTGGAAAAGGGTACATATTTAGGTAGTTGTTGAACACTATCACTCCTAACGTATGTGAGGAATCAATACGGAGGGTTTAAAAGTGGTATTAGGAATAACGAAACCTTGGTGCGATCTTAGTGAGCGGTGAATTAGTGCCAGCTAGCGTAGTTCGGAAGAATATGTCTAGTAAATTGTTGTTGTTGCTCGGAAGAGAATTACGACACCCGAAGTATTCACGATCGGTAGAGAATACTTAGGCGAAATTATAAAAAACTTAGCGGGGAGAATTCCGACAATTGAAAAAATCATAACTCTAGACCTCCTTAGTCTTGTTAGTTGATAATTTTACTACTTTTTGTATTTGTTAATTACTTAGTTTAAAATAAAAATTACAATCTTTATAACTATGAAATTATTTGAACTTGTATTTCTTAGTAATACTGAACAATTGTAGCTAAACTTTAGTTCTCTGTGAGATTCGACTCCGAACTTTTAGACTGGATTATATTTGCAGCGACCGCTTATCCTTTTTTAGGACTAGAGTTGGGCGTGATCAAATTTTGGCACCGTTGCCGGGGAACTAACGGTGTAGTTGTAGGTGTACATATTGCTAGGTTGCAAGTTTGAACTTTTATTTTTGTTTTCTTGTATTTGACTTTTTTAATTTTTGTTTTACTTGTTGATTTTAGAAACATGGCATCTTGGAATTATGAGAGTTTTGATGTTGGTAATTCTACTTTTGATCTTCCTTATGCATATTGTGGAGAAAATCACCTATGAAAAAATTATTAAAATATTCTTGAGAGCGAGTTATGTGCACCAACTCAATCTTATGTGTGGAATATGTGTGATGATCAAGATGGTCACTTTCATGGTTGTACTTATATTTCTTATCCTCCCCCAACCCCTTACTATGATAGTTCTACTTTTTTTGGTGAAGTTAATAGGAACGCAAAACCTATGAAAGCTGACGTGAGTGAGATCAAAGATATGTTAAAGTGTTTCATGGAACAAAGTAATGAGAAACAACCGCAAATACAAAAGCTATGTGATACTATCCAAAGGCAAGAGGTAACAATTCATAACATGGAGGCACAAGTGAGTCAATTAGTTGAAGCATTTAATGCTCAACAAGCTGATATTGTGGATAGTAGCCAAAAGGAGCATGCATTAGATGCAGAAATTGCGGTACCAATAGAGGAGTCCATAGTAGAACACCAATAATCAATCAAACTAGAATTTGAGGATGTCGATGTTGTAAAAGAGATACTAGAGTCAACCAAGGACATTGAGGATACATATTTAGTTGACTCTAGTGTCATTGGTGTTGAGGACGTAGACAATCTCAATGTTCATGTAGTTGAGCGCATTGGTCCACACTCCAAATATTTTTCCACATTGTATTTGGATGATGATATAGAAATAGAGTCACCCAAGCCACTTGAGGAGTCAAGGAATGAGGAACAATGTGCCTACATTCTGGAATTCTTCTTGCAAAAAATAAAACGGGATTACACACCTCATCTAAAGGCCAAGAAGTGCAGAATACTACATTGTTTCCTTGGGCCAGTTCGATTTGTTCCACCACCTCAGGAGCATAATTATAAGCTTGAAGAAAAACTTGGGGTTCAATTCATAAGCGCGAGGTAGAGACAAAAAGTGATACGCGTCGTGCCGCGACGTTAAATCAAGCGCTTGTTGGGAGGCAACCCAACTTTACTGTTTTATGTTATGTTTATTTTTATTTTTTATTATTGTATTATTATTGCAGCGTTGTTTTTGATTTCTCTAAGAGAATGGGAAGTAAAGCTATTGGAAGAAAGCAAAAGTAAGGGAGATGGTCAGAACTAAGTGTGGGGTGCCCGCACAAAGAACCAAGTTTGGGAGAAGTCTGAGTACACCATGAGCTGCTAATGCATCGGCTTTTGACCTACTAGGGAGTTTATTTTACCCTCTTGTATTTATGGGGGTGCATTGGGGACAATGCATAATTTTAAGTGTGGGGTAAAGAGACTGTTTGGATGTTCCTGTGCTATTTTAGTTGTGTTATTGTATTTGTGTTGAAAAAAAAAAATTATGTAGTAATAATCCCTCTTGGTTTTTCTTATGGCCATAGTTCTTTTCCAAGGGATGACTCTTTGAATCGGATAGTAGTTTTTTTGTAGGCAGAATCTTCATAAAAGTTTTGGACTTTTCCTGACGTTGGATTTGTTAGACAGTTTTTTTGAGGGAGTAAAGTCTAAAGAAAAAGAATGCAAAAAGATTTTTCTTTTTCTTTCTTTTGTAGAATTGATAATGGAATGGAAAAACTTGAGTATCTACGCTTTTTGACATATTTTATGCTGGGGCTTAGAGCTGTAACATTTGAGCTGATTATCTTTTTTGTGTTCTATCTGGCCACATGCCTTGAGAATATATGTGACTTTCTTTTGACGCTTAAGTTCATTTGTTGACTCCTATGATTACTTTCCATGTATTGAATTAATATGATGACTGTGCTTAGTTATTTAACTAGAGTGTCGGGTATGAGCCGTCCGGAGTGAATCATGTGCATTGTGTGATGTGAGGTCTTGATTATATTCTATGTTATCCTGTGTTAGTCTAGAATTTTTCCCGTGTGTTATTCGAAACGAAATAAGTAAGCTTTATGAGTCTTGGAGGTGATGTAGGCGTTTCTTTGATTGTCCATTGAGCTAGTATGACACCATAAATAAAATTAATCCATAGATAGCCCATTTGAGTCTATAGACCTTTTCTTTGGTACCCACATTACAAGACGATTCCCTTTTTGGTCTTAATTAGATCTTTTGAACCTTTACATCCGAAAGCACTTAAGTCGCTAGAAGAGTAAGGTGAGAGTTGAGGTAGCTTTTGAGTGGAACCACAGAAAGGCCAAAAGGTGCATGTATGTTTTGAAAGATCATTAGCCAGGCAACCCAAGTATGGAGAGTGTTGGGAAAAAATGAAAAAAAATAGAAAATACACCTCCTATTCCTCTTAATCCGAGCTAGTGAATGTATAGTTGTGCTTAAAGAAGAAGGGCCAAATTGTATATGATTTCGTGGCATTGCTTGAATTGGTCATGAAGAGTATGTATTTGAAAGTTAAGTGTAGTGTATTAAAGTGCTTAGGATGGTTAGTCACTATACCCAAATATATCCTACCCATCCCTTAACCTATATTACAACCTGGAAAGACCTAATTGATCCTAGACTTCGCAAGCTTAAATTAGTAGAGACATACACTATAGGCAAGCCTATGGAACGACCTCGGGATGCACATGAATTTCTTTGAGAGAGTGAGCGAATTCTTTCGATTTGTAAGTCCTTAAATTGTACTTGAATGCATATTTGAGTGTGTGAACTAATTTCTCTCTTTGGTTTGTGGTGAGGGCACATGATTTACAAATGATTGGTAAAGTCCAGGCATTTTCAGTTGACACAACAAGTTAGCCATAGTAAGGAATATATTGGAGTCATCTCTTGAGGTTAGGATGTTAGAATAAGTCGCATAAATATTTTAAATAGCCTTGGCATGAGTCTACTTTTGATGAAAGATGTCAATAGTTCTTATGTTAAGTTCTA